GAGGCAAGGTTTGATGAACGGATTGATGGTCTCGAGAAAGAGATTTCAGACCTAAATGAGCAGATCGCCATTCTTGAGGCCGAAAAGGCGCAGCTACTGGCTCAACTGTCTTCATCTCATGTTTCCACTTATCCCGATGTTCCACGGGATTTACTAGTGTTGTGGGAAATCTAATACCACCAAAAGGTTCCCAAGAGATAGGCGACCAAACCCCAGAAAGATTCACCTGAAAAAACTCACTCACGCGCCCCCATGCGCCTACCAAAGATATGCCGGTAGCGACATGTCTGACCCATGCACCGACGCGTGAAGGCTGTTCTGGCCAGAATTTTAAAAAGTTTCTTTTGGATAGTGTCATTGCCCTGAAATTTTGAGCCTACCAATCCAATTTAAACTAAATTCCGACCACTTATATATTTTTCGATGTGAACAGTGATTTTTCCGTCGTGAATAGTGATTTCCGGATAATTTCTAATTTTTCTGGCATTAATAGTAATTTTTAGAAGGGTTTCCGATTTTTCGGGTGTGAACATTATAATGTCATTCGTATTAGAAGTCGTTGACTCAAAATCCGTTGGATCTAATGCATTAAATCCAATCCAGATGGTTTCTGATAGAATATATGAGTCCACCAAACTATATACAGACCAAGTCCTATATAGGTTTCCACAGATAACGCTAATGCAACATTAAGTAAATGGAATATGGAACTTTTACGTGGAAAAATCTCTGCTCAAGTAGATAAAAAATCACGACATACACTGGTAGGATTTCAACTTCACTATGAGCAAACTTTAGATTACAACATATGCAATCTAGGAATTAAACTCTTAATACCTCACTAACTTTTAATACACCTATTACAAGACACTTTACAACACACCTATTACAAAGACTTCAACTCATAACTAACTCTAGTCACGATACAAACACTGAAGGTTTATAGTTTACAAGGGGTTCCTAATTAAAGCTTAGATAAGCAAAGTAGGAATTAGAATGAAGAACAACTACAAAGTTACAACTCAACTAAGGACATACAAGAGACTTGTTGTAGGAACTGGTCCGTAGTAGTGTTGTACTTTGTTCTTGATGCCCTTGGGAATTGAATGCTTGATAGACGAATGGTTGGAGTGCTTAAATGAATTCACAAGTATTCAAGTGATGTTTTGTTGTAATGCTCTTTGTTAATACAACTTGGATGACATCACTTGACTGATGTAATCACTTGGCTGGTCAATGTGGAGTGATTGATGTATTGTACTGCACTGTTTGTGTGTACAGTGCAGGCAGTCACTTTCTAGCTGTAGATAGTTGACTTCATACTACTGTCAGTGAAACATAAGGGGATCAGGTCCATGTGTTGATTCTTTATCTTTTGAAGTCATAGCAACTCACATTAGCTCGAGTCTGTTGATTGAGTTGTGTACCACGTATGTCAGGTCTTTTATCTGGTTCTTTGACAGTAAGTTTATTAGATCATCAAAACATAAAGCTAAGGTACTCTAAACCCATCAATTTTCCCCTTTTTGATGATGACAAACTTAGAAATTGATAACCATATGCAGAGCAAAATAAACCAGATAAAGTAATAGGAACTTGTGAAGTTTCCCCTGACTTTATGTTTCCCCCTTAATCAGATCTCCTGCTTCAATTATGCCTTCAATTATATTTTCCTCTTTTGGCATCATTAAAAGTACACAAGCAAGCAATCAACATAAATAAGTATAGCCTAACTAACTCATGCCATATATGTGCACACCACATGATAGAAAAGAGAAACAGAGGAACATAAGCATTTATAGTAAAAGAGGTGAGTCTTCATTGATTTTATAAAACATAAGCCTTTGCTATTACAGCAAAGGCAAATTTGAACTGTTAACAGCGGGAGCAGTACAAGTGAATTCTATCCATACCACAAAAAAACAACTACCATTATGTCATCAAACAAAAGAGATAAAATGGAAATTGGTCACTGGTGCATTAGCCTAGGGGACACTAGAGAGAGAGGGCTTAGAAGCTGCTGCAAGAGTGTTGAGAACGAGATCAATTCGAGCATTTGTCAACATTTGCTCTGCGAGCAGTTTCTCCTTCAGATTCTCAACCTGTTGCTTGAGATCAACATTTTCTATGGTCAAACGAGCAACCTCTGCACTTGATGAACTGGAGGATCCTAGTGCCTCTTGAGCCTGACATAGCTGAGTCTCTAGAATGGCATTCCTCGCCTTCAACTTTCTAATCTTCTCAGTAGCACTGTCCTAGGCATTGATAAGTTGTGAGATTGTCGAAGTACTTCCTACCCCTCCACCTTTTTAACATATTCACATTCCTCTAGAGTAGTGTGCGAGAAGATCTACTTCTTGATCCCCATCTTGGGCTATCCCAAAGGCACATTAAAGAACTTGAAGACATGCGTGAGAAGAAATCCATAGGGAAGACCATGATTTCCATCTTTGAAAGTTGTCACCTTTTGTATGTGCTCAATTATTATGGCTGGCAGATTAACAAATCGAAAATCATCCAGTGCTTCCATTAGATACATATCAGACTTGGATGTGATAGACCTCCTCTCAGCGCGAGGTAGCAGGATCTTGTTTACCAACTCAAACAGGAGCTGATACATATGAAGCAAAGTTTTCTTATGCACTCGTTCCCCCCGCTAGACTGATCCCTCCTTTACTATAGCATGCCTAAAGTTAGAGCCCCAGACATCCTTAACAGAAGACATACCGTCAACAGGAACCTTAAGTATGTCTCCTAGCAGAGCAGAGTCCATGACAATGTCAACTCCATTTACCAATGCACAGATATGGTCAGATTCAATAGTAAATAGGTCGGCATAGAAACTTTGGACCTCATCCTCATAAACCTTGGGCACATCCACTTTGAACAGATGTCCCCACTGTTGAAATTCGACCATTTCAAGTATTTTCCTCATACTAGCCATATCAGATATTTCTAGGTCAAATGTGCAACCCCACAGAACCTTTTGGTATCTCAACCTTTCTTTACTAGACACATTTTCACGTTTCACTTTCTTTACAGAACCGAATTCCTTCACATTCTCCAATTTTCTTTTACCAGACTTCACACTACACTTACTCTTTCCACTTGATTTCACTAGAGTATCATCATTAGACAGTGACTCTTCAGCCACCACTTGCTTCAACTTGTCACTACTTTTCACTGACTTTTTACTAGGCATTCCTACAGCCTCCTCTGAAGCACTTTCAGCAGATTGTTTTTTTTCTGAGGTCTCTTGACTAAGGAACTTGGTTACTCTTCAGCTTCCTCATCCACTTCCACTACAGGAATGTTCTCGTCATAAACAATCTCTCCATCCTTCACCAGCCTCTTTTTCTTCTTCTAGCTACTCCTTTTACTCTTCTGCAGGGCAGACTCAAGAGCCTCATTTTTTTGCAACCTCATAATAGGTCGCTGAGGAGAGAGCTAAGGAGTGGCTACTGGCCTCCTTCTGGCAATGAACATATCTAGGGCAACATTATCCCGATCTTCTTTATCACTGGACCTCATAGTAGGAGCCACTACTTCAAAAGGCTTAGCATCAAAGTGAGGAGAAGGAGCAGGGTTGAAACTGACCTGGGAAGAAAATCCCTGACATGTTTCCTCAGGAAAGGTGTCAGGTCCTTCAAGAGGGGTCCCAGTAGTTTCTTCTGGTGCAGGTTGTTCAAAGAGCACCACCGTTCCTTCTCTCACCAACGACTGAGTCTCTTCCCCCTGAGACTCAGGCATAGTAGAGGTAACCTCATACACTATTCCTTTAGCAGATATGGCTAATATGTTTTCTATGGCCTCTCTTTCCTGAGATTCTATGGGTGCGACAAAATCCCATACTGGAGTACCTGTAGACTAATTAACACTAACCTCATAAACCTTTTCTACCTATGAAGTCTCACTTTGTTCTCCATCTTTGCTTTATTCTTTGAGAATCTTAGGCGATAGAGAAGAGAGACTATCAATTTTAAGGACTTCTCAGTTCTCAACACTTAGATGAAGAGTGTGTTCTGAGGGTGTGGTGAGAGAGATGGAGGGTGAAGGAGAATCAGGTTTAGGTGCTTCAATTTCAATAGTGGTGGAAAGGGAAATTTTGAGAGGTGTTTCTTTAAGAACGGAGGAGTTGGGGGTTTTCTCTTCAATGAAAGGGAGAATTGTTTGTTCTTCAGCCATGGAGGATGATCAGTTTGAAAATTTTGGAAGGGATGAGAAGGAGAGAGATAATCGTTCAAGGTCTGGAGATGAGAGAGTTTTAAAGAGGAAGAAGGCAGTTATGAAGAAGAGAGAAACGGGTTCTGAAATGGCGGTAGATATTTTGGGAAGATGCAACGTTTCAGAGGGAAGTGAAGGGATTTAAATGAAAAGACGTGACATACAGGGTCTAAAAAGGTTTATGATGTGGCACTCAATTTTTGTTTCTTTTTGAGGTATGTATGAGAAAATCACAAGACTACTAACATATGGTACAAGAACCAGGTTCTTGACCGGTCTTTCAAAAATTCTCAACCCTCTTTTACCATTCATGCAGTGCTTCTGCAGCTTCTATAATCATCATGTGTGTCTACCTGTAACGATATTGAAGTGAGTTTGACTTGGCCGAAAAACACTTTAGCTAACTTTACCTAAATGTGATTTTCATAGTTATGGTAGGAATCAAGTTCTCAATTAGGCTTTATTAGCCCCAATTCTAGCCTGTTTCTCTCAAAGTGTTCTATACTCAGGGCTTTGGTGAAGATATCTACAATTTGGTCCTCTTTGCTGCAGAACTTCATACAGATAAGCCCTTTTCCACATTATCTTTGAGAAAATGATGTCTCACATCAATGTACTTGGTCCTTTTATGTTGGACTAGATTTTTGGCCATATTGAGTGCACCTGTGTTATCACACAGAAGAGGCACACAATTAGTGTACACTCCAAAGTCTACTAGTTGATGTTTGATCCATAGGAGTTGAGCACAACATGAAGCTGCAGCAACATATTCTGCTTCAGCTGTTGAAAGCGCTACTGAATTGCTTCCTTGTCCCCCGTGAAATAAGACATGATCCTAGGAAGTGAGCCATTCCAGATGTGTTTTTCCTATCCACAAGATAACCTGCATAGTCAGCATCAGCATACCCAGTAAGATTAAAATTATCACCTAAAGGGTAGTATAGAACCAGGTCTTGTGTTCCCTTAAGATATCTCAGAATTCTTTTGTCAGCCTTCATATGAGATTCCTTGGGATTTGATTGAAATCTTGCACATAGTCCAACACTAAAGACAATATATGGCCTGATGGCAGTGAGATAGAGAAGAGACCCAATAATTCCTCTATCCATGTCTAGTCAAGTGGCAGTAGTAATGGGAGTGTCAATCACTTTTGATACTTCCATATCAAATCTCTTTAGAAGCTCATTGATGTATTTCTGCTGACTGATGAATGTACCCTTTGTGAACTGCTTCACTTGAAGACTCAAGAAGAAATTCAACTCACCCATCATGCTCATCTCAAACTCACTTCCCATGAGTTTTGCAAATTCCTCACATAGTGAATCAGTTGTTGCCCCAAAATGATATCATCAACATACACCTGAATGATGAGAAACTTTGTCATTAACATATACCTGAATCAGTTGTCAATTTTTCCTCTTGTAAAACCATTTTCTAAGAGAAACTTTGACAACCTTTCATACCAAGCTCGAGGAGCCTGCTTCAACCCATGCAGTGCCTTGTCCAATTTTAACACATGTTCAAGGTGTTCATGACATTCAAAACCTGAAGGTTGTTTTATATACACTTCTTCCTTGAGGAAGCCATTCAGAAATGCACTTTCGACATCCATTTGGAACAAAGTGAATTCCATATGTGATGCAAAGGCAATGAGGATTCTGATAGCATCCATGAGAGAAACCGGAGCAAAAGTCTCATCATAATCAATTCCTTCCTCTTAATTATAGCCTTGGACCACTAGCCTTGCCTTGTTCCTTGTAGTGTTTCCATGTTCATCGAGCTTATTCCTGAATACCCACATGGTTCCTGTGATGGTTTGATCTGAGGGTCTAGGTATCAAGTGCCATACATTCTTCCTTTCGAATTGATGCAGCTCATCTTGCATGGTTGCGATCCAGTCTGCATCTTTTAAGGCTTCCTTAATGTTTTTGGGTTCTATTTTGGAGAGAAATGTTGAGAAGACAAGTGAATTTCTGGATTTTGATCTGGTTTGGACTCCTAAATCCAGACGAGTAATTATGTTGTCAAGAGATGAGAGCTTTTGTGTTTCTAGTTGGGCACTTGAGCTTCATTTGTAGAGGAGCTGAGTAATCCTGACTCATTCTCTTGTATCCTTCTTTCAACAACATGTGGAGTACTTTGAACTGCATCAACCACTCTTTCTTCAGCTTCTGTGGTTATAATTGTGGTACCTGGTTCTCTCCGGTTGATGAGGAAGAGATTGTATTGTCTTCACTAGTCTCTTTCACTTGACTCATCATATCTGCCTTTCCATTTGCCATATCAATAACTTGACCTGGAAGTAGCATAGATACTCCATCTTGATCATCCTTGTTGCTTTTCTACCAGGAGAAGTAGGACTCATCAAAGATTATGTGTACACTTTCCTCAACACACTGAGTCTACTTGTTGTAAACCTTGTAGGCTTTACTCTGAGAGGAATATCCCAAAAAGATCCCTTCATCACTCTTTGCATCAAAATTTCCAAGCTGATTCTTTCCATTATTGAGAACATAACATTTACACCCAAATGTTCTTAAGTGAGTCAGCTTGGACTTCCTTCCATTCAGCAACTCATAGAAAGTTTTGTTCAAGAAAGACCTGATCATGCACATGTTCACCAAGTAGCAGGTAGTGTTGAACTCTTCAGCCCAGAAGTTCTTAGCAATCCCATTATCGATCATCATTATTCTTGCCATTTCTTCAAGGGTTCTGTTCTTTCTTTCCACAACTCCATTTTACTGTGAGTTCTTGGGGCTGAGAAGTTATGGGTAATGCCATTCTCGTTGTAGAATTCGTCAAACTTAGCATTGTCGAATTCTATCCCATGATCTTATCTAATGCATGCTATTTTTCACTCCATCTTCACTTGAATTTTCTTCACAAAGGCTACAAAAACCTCAAAGGTCTCATCTTTTGTTCTAAGGAATAGAGTCCAAGTGAATCTGGAATAATCATCCACTATCACAAAAATATATCTTTTTCCTCCCCTGCTTTGCACTCTCATAGGACCACATAGATCCATATGAAGGTGATCAAGTGGTTTTGAGGTACTGACATCCTTCTTTGTCTTGAATGAGGATTTCACATGCTTCCCTCTGGCGTAGGCATCACAAACTTTGTGCTCCTTGAACTTTGACTTGGGCAGACCATGAACCAGGTCCTTCTGAACTAGCTTATTCAGTAGAGAGAAGCTTGTATGCCCCAGCCTTCTGTGTCACAGTTCAGCATCATCATCAACTGCTTTCAAGCAACTCAGATCACTGATCGCTGCCAACTCGACACTACACTAAGGTAGGAAGAGCGGGTCGCAATAGATTTTACCCGATATGAGGGTCGAGATCGATTTCCTCAGGGCGCTAGTAGTGGAGTTGGATTGTCTGTTTATCCTAGAGATGTGTTTGTGCTCCTAATTTCACTTCAAACACTTTTTGAGTTTTTGTATTTATAACTACTATTATAAAACTAAGGATTGAAGCTAAATTATTGTAAGAGAATATTGCCAAGTTGTAATTAATGGGAAGAAGGGCACTAGGGTCGTAGCATCACCTAGGTGGCTAATTGACGGGTAGATGTTACTAAGGATAGATTGACATATTTGGGGATTATACTATAACCGTTGCACAATTGCACCCACTCTCACACCTCTCGGTAGAGAGAGTGATTTTTCCCGGCCAATGAGACCAAACAACTAGGGTTCAAGTAGGGTGATTACTCTCTCGAGATTTAACCCATTNCAACTAAACATAATAATTAATTACTAGAAGAAACTACAATAATCTATTGTTAATGTAAAGCAAAATATGCCAAAAAATGGCTACAACACCGAGTGCAGCTATCGTCTGAAGTTCCCCGATAAAAGAGAGCCCTAAAAAATAGTAAAATGTTCTATTTATACTAGGCTGGAAAAACTGGACAAAAATACCCCTGCCGGGTCAGTGCGGGCCGCACAAAATGGTCTGTGGCCGTACTGGCTCTTAGACTTCAACTGTTTGATAACTTGAATAGGGGGACGCGGACCGCGTGGAAGGGTACCGCAGCCGCGATGGCAACTGGCGCGGTCCGCGCAAGCGTGATCGTGGATCGCGTGACCAAAAGTGCACTTCTCTAAACCTCTGCTCCGCGGACCGCGTAAATGGTACCGCGGCCGCGAAGCCTGAATGCGGACCGCATAAATGGTACCACGGCCGAGTAGCTCTTAGCCTGATTTTTCCCTTCTCTGAACTTCCTAGTGCGGCCGCGGTTGCTTTTGCGCGATCCGCACTAGGCCCATTTTTCCTCCATTCACTTGGTCTTGATACTAGAGCAGGTTTCACTCCTTTTTGAGCCGATATTTGACCTTTTGTCAATTTGTCACTCAAACCTGCATTCAAGCACAATTTGTGAGCATTTTGGGACTAATTTGTAGCAATTTATAATCACATCATAGGTAAGTAGGGGGATAAAACACGTTAAAATCCCGACTTATCAATCACCACTTTGTAGGGACTCAAAATCAGCAACGTAGATATTCTTGTATCTTTTGACCACAAGTACCACTTCACCAGTTAATAGATTTGTAACTGTGCATATCTTTGACAAAAACTCCACCTTGTTTCCTTTATCACATATTTGAGAAACACTCAAGAGACTGTACTTAAGACCATTGACATAGTACATATTCTCAATTGAGTGAGAGAGTGATTTTTCAATCTTTCCAACTCCAAGAATCTACCCCTTTTTCCCATTACCAAAGGATACACTACCTCATTGTAGGGCTTTTAGTGAAAGAAACTCCATGGTATTCCCAGTCGTGTGCTTTGAGCATCTACTGTCCATGAATCATCGTTGACTGCTTCCTTTCACTGTTCCCTGCATAAGAAAATCAAGGGTTAGATTTAGGAATCCAAGCAAGTTTGGGTCCCTTTTAATAAACAAGAGGATGAATAAATCCTTTTCTAGTCCATGTAGGTAATATGCGCTTTTTATGGGTGGCACCTGGTCCTCTTTAGCAGTTACTCTTTTAGCAAGAACTTTATTTTTCTGAAGAGATTGAACCCTGCCTTGGCAATTTTCTTTGAAATGCTCATTTTTCCCTTAGTGGGTACACAACCAATTATCAGGTACAATAACATACTTGCTATGAGGGTCATAAGAGGTTATCTCCTTTTGAAACTATGTTCCCTGCCTGTTTCCACCATTGTTAACGTACATGGTTGTAATAGCATCCGAGGACCAGGTCCACTTAAGAGACTTCTCAAGGTCATTTTTTACTCTTTTCAAATCTGCTTGAAGTTGTCTATTTTTCTCAAGTTGAGCGCATAAACTAGTTTTTACAGCATTTAACTCGTTTTCAAGCTTGATATGTGCCTCACTAGCAACTTCTTTTCCTTTATCATAATTTCCAGGCCTACATTCTGCTTTGAGTTCATCTATTGTTTTCTTCAAGTCTATAATCACAACTAAGAGGTCATTTTTTTCTTACTCTAGGGCATCAACTTTCTCCACTAAGTCATTCTTTTCTTTACTGAAATTTTCGATGGTTTCTTTTAAGTCAACAGCTACTACTATCAAATCGTCTCTTTCATGTTCTACACTAGCAATTTTCTCAGTTAGAACCTCCTTTTCATTTTCTAGATTACATATGGTTTCCTTCAGATCAACCACACAAACTACCATGTCATCTCTAGTTTGTTCAGCATCTCCTAACTCTATGGTTAAGGCATCCTTATTATCTACAAGACTATGATATGCATCAATTAATACATTTGCTAATGACATGAGTTTCTTAGGAGAGTAGGATTTCAGATTTCTCTGAATATCCCTGAAATTTACCTCATCATTGTCATCATTTTCATCATTGTCTGACTGAGCCATCAAAGCAAATATTGAATCATATTCATTTGCTTCACTTTCAAAGGCCATCATAGAACTATCACCTGCATCATTTTCTTCTTCAGACTCACTGGAGGAATCTCCCCATGCTGCAAGAGCTTGCTTCATAACATTGTCAGCGACGTTCTTTCTTTTGAAGCGTTTGTCGGGAACCGGGTTCCTCTTGGCTGCTTTGTCAGAGTTGTACTCAAAATGTTCTTGCTTCAGGAGAGGGAAATCCTTGATGAAATGCTCT